GTGTTTCTTTTTATTTATTTTTTTATTTTTCTAGAGATAATAATGTGTAATTTTCTTGAGAAAGGACAGAACACATGGACCATGATTTTTCTCTTAATTATTGTGTTTGGCCCCACTAAATTGCATGATGATAAGTTAAATGAGAAAAGCGAAAACCGAAAGTGGGGACATAGTTTGAAAATAAGCCCATGCCAAAGAAAATGTAAGTAAAAAAACCAACATCTAGTTAGCTATTTTTGATAATGACTGGAAGTTAGAATCTCAATGTGATCAGCATGCAATGCATTGTCAAGAGGAGAGGGGAAAAGCCTGCAGGCTTATTATATTTTAAGAACTTTAATTTTAGATGCATAATTACAATGAGTAATTAGATAACTATGGAGGTTGAATAAATTATTCTAAATGATTATATCCTCACTCTAATCACAATATTAAAAGTATATGTAAATATCCCCCAACCAAAAAAACCTTCTTATTAAAACATCTACAATTTGCATAGAATGTGTACACTTTTTGACTCATTTAGTGTTGGAAAATAAATTAATATTTTATCGCATTAATTTCAATTCCAAATATTTTGTCAAATAATAACTGTGAGGCACCAATGAGGTGATGCGCGATTTGTGTATCTATGTGCGACTTGCACACTTTTTTTTTTCATAATAAACCACAGGTATTTTTTATGAGAGGCCATCCTGTTCGGAGTGGATCCAGAACTAAGATTTTAAACTCTTTCTAAAAATAGTATTTGAATTTTGGGAGGATTGAACACATACTCTCATACTCTCACCCTCACCTGTTCAGCTCTTATACGTCGACTGAACTACTATTATTTGGTCTTGCACACTCTCTTTAAATCCCTACTTAAGTTCATGTTAATTTTTTTTTTTTTTAAAATAAAAAAGCACTAGCTATAGCATACTGCGTATAAACATGCATAACATGATAATGATTTTGGTATAAACGTAGACTTTGCAAAACAAATAAGGAGAATTGGCTCACCAGAGCTACTCCATCTCTGGTAGCAAGTGCTAGGATATCTGCACAGGACACGGTGCCATTGCAAGCAGCTTCAACGTTGGTTTTAATGGTATCAATAACTTCGAAGCCCCTGGCTGAATTTTTGTTAGGAGCTGCATTTTTCTCTCCGGTGAAGGTGGCAGTGTCGTCCAATAAGATTGATCCATCGCAGCCCTGCAAGCAAATATATAAAACTGAGATGTTACCTTCGTAGAAAAGTTTTTTTGGCACCTTTGAAATTTTTATAAGTTGAACCTAAAACCTTTCTGTGCAAATTTTCATTTTATAAAGCATACGAGCTAAGTTGAGGTCATACTACTTTAACTTAACATTTATATAATAATCCAAAATGAGTCTAGCTTTTATTGTAGTAAAATTTTTCAAGATGTATCTTGGACATTGGGTCCGTATCTGACCAAATTCTGTAGGTCCCATCTCCCTCACTCCATGCATAGCCCTACGAAAAACTCTAACACAATAATGATACGAAATAAATATAATATAAAATTATTAATATGGTAGTTATTAACAATTAAATTTTTTGGGTTGAAATATTATATTAGAGTCATGACCAGTTAAGTGGTCACCAAATCGATCCTGATGGCCCCCATTACATTATAAATAAGGAAAAGTTCATCAATGCCCGTATGGTCTGCTTCAGAATCATTTATGTCCCTGTGGTTTTTTTCCTGTCACATATGCCCCTATGCTTTGTAAAAAATAAGAAACCACAGGGATATATGTGATAAAAAACATACCCTTTTACAAACCACAGGGGCATATGTGATAAAAAAAAAACCACAGGGGCATAAGTGATTCTGAAGTAAACCACAGGGGCATTGGTGAACTTTTCCCTATAAATAATTAATATTGTGAATTTTTTTAACATAAGTGGGTAAAGTTTGTGCATTATTTATTCTTCAAATTTAATGAACTCTCGTGTGAAAGATGTAATATAAAAATATAATATAAAATTATTAATATAACTACATAACAATTTAAAATTTTGAGTTGAATTGGTTCTCAAATCTTATCCCGATTAGAGGGTTCACAATAACACACAAGCATTGAAGTATCCACAAGAACACAAATACAAAGAAAACAAATAAAAAGTTGAGAAAGAAAAAACAAAACAAAGAAAAACTTGAGGTTTGTAATAATTTGGATATTGTTAATCATAGCTAGCATATGATATAAAATGTAAGCATAGCTTTAGTACTAAGAATTTTGTAAGCTATAGAGGCAAAGAGATGGTTCGAGGTTTTACATTTACAAAGCAATCATGGAAGAACAAGCGAAGTATAGAGGCACCAAGCCTGGCTTCTCTATTAATAGCTTGCCTCATTGCATTGCGCACAATGGTTTGAAGGCTGGGGCATGTTGTGTCATAGAAGGTGGCAGAAAGTTGTGCATTGCTAGAATAGGCTAGGAGAGAAAGGAAAGATACTATAACAAAGAACTTCTTGTTAAAGGGAGCCATATCTAGCTAGATTTGAGCCACAAATAGTGAAGCCTTTTTGTTTGTGTTGAGAGGATATGTGAGCTGGGGAAGTTGCCTTTAGAAGAATTAAACTTGCATGATATTTATAGAGGACTTAAGCAAAGGTGCTTATGCAGACTGACAGAGAAAGGCAAGGTCAGAGCCAGGGAATCATCAGAAATTAAGAAACGAGAAAATTATAGTTGTTCCAATTTTCAAACTTGTCTGCAACTACTTCTACGCGCTTTGCTTTTATTTTTGGGGAAGTGATGGGAAGATATTTTGCAAAATGAAGATCCATATATTAAGAGTAGTTGACTTATTCCCAATCTAAAAACCAAGCAAAAGAAAGGGAAAAAAAAGGGGCATCATTTGAAGCTAATGAGCTCTGGGTTAATACTCTTAAGTGTAACTTTTCAGATAACAGTATTCGATTTGGCTAACAAGGTTTGGAAAAAAAAGAGGTTTGGATGAAACTAGGTTTATTACCCACTTCCATTTGTGGTAACTATTGTCAATGAGTCCTATTATACTTGATCTTATAAGGAGGTTATATATATATATAGGGGTATTTCATTTTACATTGGTGTCAAAGAATTCTCTCATATATATATATATATATATATATATGGGTTTCGATTTTTTCATGCGGTAGGAGAAATTTTTTTCATGTTCTAGACATATTTTATGTGGGGCTCACATCTATTAAAAAAATAAAAAAGCAAAAGAAAATATTGCACGAAAGTCGAAGAGTCACTAGTAGGAGAAAATAACTCTCCTACAACATGAAAAAATATTTTTCCTATATATATATATTTATATGGGATATGATCAACTTACACTGGTATAAGAATAATAAATCTTACACCAAATCTTAACCGTTGATTTTCGTGCATCTAATAGTTGAGATTTATTGGGAATTAAAAATTAATTAATTAGTGAGACCTAATAAATCTTAACCGTTAGATACAGAAAATCAATGGTTAAGATTTGGTGTAAGACTTAATATTCTTATACCGGTGTAAGATGATCTTATATATATATATATATATATATATATATATATATATATATATATATATATATATATATATGGGGAGGGTTCTTTTGACTCCAGAGTAAGACCTTTAAGTCTTACTCCAAATCCCAGCCGTTGATGGACGGAAATCAACGGTTGTCATTAATAGTATAATTAATAATTAATTAATTAATATAACTTCCTAAATTATAACCGTTGGATGGACGGAAATCAACGGTTAGGATGGAGAGTAAGACTTATAAGTCTTACTCTTGAGTCAAATGATCTCTCTCCTATATATATATATATAGAGGTAGGATCCTTTGACACCAGTGTCAAAGTTTAAATTTGACACCTCATCTGAGAGCCGTTAGATCAAAAAAGATCAATGACTCAGATTTGTAAACATGTGACACCATTGATCTTTTTTGATCTAACGACTATAAGATAAGGTGTCAAATTTCAAATTTGACACCGGTGTCAAAGGATCCTACCTCATATATATATATATATATATATATATATATAAGCAACCATCTCACTTGAAAGGATAAGATGAATATGACCAGGATCAAACTTGTGATCATCAACTATGTGAAACAATTATTTCATCTAAAAATTAGTAAATGATAGATTTTCAATAATTTTATATTATATCTTTATAGGAAATTCGTTCACACAAAAATTTATGAGGTTAAAGTGTGGATATAAATTTTAGTAGAGTATCTATTATATATGGCTCATATTCAATTAATTTTTATTTATATTTTAAAATTTTCAGTTTATTTAATAAATGATATGCATTTAGCATATGGGTCAATCTAAGCCAAAAAGAGAAAGAATATTGATTAAATCTTAAGCAAAAAGGCAATAATGACTGTTTATCTGTTAAAATCTCAATCAGAGATTGCACAACTGATTTTGTAGGAAAAACAAACAAACTGGAGCTAAAAAGGAAAATGCAAAAAAAAAATTGAAGCCCACGCTGAGAGCGTGGGAATGACGCTGATAGCTTGAAAGGAGATTTTCACACAGAAACTACCACGCTACTAGCGTGGGACTGACGCTAGTAGCGCCAGAGATCCAAATCAAGCAGAGACTACCACGCTACTAGCGTGGGACTGACGCTAGTAGCGCCAGACTTTCCATAAATCCACACTTGCAGCATGGTAACCACGCTAGTTGCGTGGTGCTCCGGTATTGTGAACAAAACTCCCACGCTCACAGCGTGGGAACCACGCTAGTAGCGTGGGAGGTGCGAAAATTCAATATTAAATCTGATCAGTATCAGCAGAAGATTAAAAGAAAGTTTTAAATGAAGATTCAATAAGATTTCTACACTAGGTCAAAAACTCTATAAATAGAGATTCAGACCTCAAGAGGAGGAGAACTTTTGCACAGAGAGGAAGACAGAGGCAGAACGCAGAGCAAGCTTCTTCTCCAATTTTCTGGTTTTATTATTTTATTTTATGAATTCCTTTGAATATTTTGAATTGTCAGACATGAATATGTCTGGCTAGTTTGTATTATTGTGGTAAGGGTCACAACCCTTGATGTGAACCCCTTGTAGTTTGGTTAAATTTATATTTAATTATTTCAAATTGCATTTATTTTATCCTGTTCTTCATCTTTTAATTCTTTTAGAATTGATCACTCTATTAGGATTGCGAGGGTTAGGGTTTTCAATAGGAATATTGAGATTCTAGTTCCTGACAAGGGTAAAATAACAGTTCATGTATGCACTAGGGATAGACTACATGAACTGCAAACGTGGAAAATTCACTGGGTTAAGAGATTAACTTGAAAAAGGATTTCTAAGGGATTAGGATTCTAATAGGGTTAATAAAGTTAAGATCACTGAGGGATTAGGGCTTAACTAATTAATTATAGATGGTGAATTGTTTGATCAATTGGGTAATTAAATATAAATATTAATCAAGATTACAAGGTGGGGATCGGAAAGGTGTTGGCGTCCTTTACTGCAATAGCTTCTTTTAATATTTTTCTCAAATCTCAACCTTTTACTTTACAGTTTTCATACTTCTCTTTGAATTGTTCGTGAAATATTGAATAGTTCATAATTGTCACAACACAATTATTTCAAAAACCTCTTTTTGTTAATCCAATAAGAAAAGAATAGTTAAATTAAATTTGGTGCCTCAATCTTCGTGGGATTATATTCTTACTCACTTTTTATTACTTGGTACGATCGGTGCACTTGCCGAGTTCGCAACAAGTTTTTGGCGCCGTTGCCGGGGATTGACTACGCCTAATTTATTTTTAACTTTTGAATTTCTTTATTGGATTTTTTTTTGTTACTAATCTTTTTGCTACAAGTTTATGCGAGGTAAAGTAAATCGAGACACTTTACAGTTTGATCCAGAAATAGAGAAAACTGCAAAGAAGAACCGAAAGTTAGCCAAGCAAAGAAAGCATGAAGAATCCTCGAGTTCAGAACCAAAAGCAGAACCCGAGATGGCCGCAAATAATCAACCACCTCCTGCGGAGGAATTGATGGAGTCAATCTTGGCTCCCATGTTTACACGGCCGAATTCAAGCATCATCAGACCACCAGTCAACGCCAATAATTTTGACATTCAGCCAACACTGATAAACTTGGTTGAGAAAAATCCATTTGGTGGAGAAGACTATGAAGACCCCCATGATTTCATGGACAGATTTCTGAGAATCTGTGATACAACCAAGCATAATGGGGTGTCCGACGATGCAATTAGACTCAGACTATTCCCTTTCGCTATAACAGGGAAAGCTCTGAGATGGTTGGATAGGCAAGCTCCCAACAACATCACAACATGAGATGATTTGGCTGCTAAATTCTTTGCAGAGCATTTCTCCAGGGAGAAATACAACAAGTTGGTGAATGAGATCACCAACTTCACTCAACATCCGGGAGAAACTTTATGTGCAGCTTGGACCAGGTTCCAAGAATTGATCAGGAAGTGTCCCCAATACGAATTGCCGGACGGAAAGAAGGCCAGAGTTTTCTATAATGGAATGACGTCGGAATCCAGGATGGTGGTCAATGGTGCAGCTGGAGGAACCATAGCAAGGAAGACAGCAGCTGAAACTTTAGAGTTAATCGACAACATGGCAAGAGCTGATAATGCTTCAATGGAAGTTCAACCAGTTTTACCGAAGAAAGGACTTCTACAACTGGGGAGCAATGGTGCTTCATTAGCGGAGCAAAAGGTGATTTTACAACAGTTGGCTAGTATGAATGCCAAGCTCGACAAGATGCAGATCTCAACATCCAAAGTTAATGCATTTAACTGTGAGTACTGCACGGAGCCACATGAGACTAATGAGTGCCCTACATTCAATGGAGCTGAACCATTCCAAGTCAATGGAGTGTGGTATGATCCAAGGCCACCACAGGATACCCAAAGTTACCAGAGAAATCAGAATGGAGGCCAAGGGAACAACTTTCAAAGGAGGAATCAATGGAGCGACTTGGATTATAAATCCAACAACTATCTGCAACCTCCTCCTCTGCCACAAAAAGAGCCATCCAAATTGGAGAAAGCGATGATACAACTGGCCAAAACTACTAATGATCACATAATTGAGACAAGAGCCTACCAAAAGAACCAGGATGCTTCCATCCGAAACTTGGAGAGTCAAATAGGCCAGTTGTCTAGGCAGTTGGCTGAGAGAAGTCAAGGAACAATCCCTAGTGATACCATTGTGAATCCAAGGGAGAACTGCAATGCCATCACTTCTAAAAGTGAGAAGCTAGAAAAAGAGAAAGTTGAAGTTTCTATAGACAAGAATGAGCACATCCAAGAAGGCAAAGAAAAAGCAAAAGAGCAACCTCCTGCAGTTCAAAAGAAGCAATGAGATTTCTCTCGTTTTGAGAAACCTCCATATCCTATGAAGCTCAAACAACATGAACAAAGGAAGCAATTTTCTACATTTTTAGATATTTTTAAGAAATTGCAAATTAACATTCCTTTTGCAGAAG